CACTATTTGTGGAGGAATTTCTGTTTAATGTGAATTTCTGAGTATAGAGCCTGTGATTTATCACAGTTAATTGCTATAAAATCACAAACAGACTGCATGTAATTGTCAGCCTGTACCGATTCAATTGCAAACTGCTAGCAGGCATGTTTCAGTCTCAATGACATTTCAAAGGAACCATTTCGAATGCAGCAGATTGTGAGTTCATTGTACATGGATGCAATAATTATTGGTTGTGTTGTGGTCTCCAACCACTCTTGTCCCTAGTGTATCTGTAGCATAAACAAAGATAAAAATAAAACCTTGACACTTCAAAATTGTAGAGTACAAAACCAGTGGGAGATGTCACAGTAGATATGTCCATTGCTGCAGCTCAAGCTCACAAGCTAAAGCTCCCGCAGTTTTGAGATCAGTGTCTTAAAATTCAGATTTGATCAAATGTGGCCCCTTGGTTTGGTCTACAAACTACATTTTTCACTTATCAACAGGAACAAAAGGTTAATTCTCTTTCTAAGGCAGATAAGCTGAACACAAACAGCTGTGATTTTGCCCTTATTATGACTCCAGAATGCTTTTGTTCCCTGGATCTGGCCTCACCTCAAAGTTTCTTTGAGTTTGATCGACTTTAACGGGAAGAAACGAGCGGAAGACGTTCTCACCGTTTAAAAGTTCTTTAATTGTTCAGTTGGTATAGGATTTGGAAGCATTGAGTCAAGACATGGTCAGCAGCCATACAAAACGAAACCAACTAATTAACATCGACTTGAGAGGGGAAAAACAAAACAAAACAAAGGCAACACACATACATTAAAAAAGAAGACAATTTAGCCATCGTCAGGTGATCACAGTAAAAAGACGCACAGTCCTAGTCTCAACTCAACAGCATGCTGAAAGTTCAATGATTCGCACAAACTGACATTCACTCACAACTCGAATAAAAGGCTGCAGAACAACCCTGATAGGCAAAAAAGTACAGTAAGACACCTCAGAGAGAACAAAACAAAGAAAACAAAACAATGCATAGACAACAAAAAAAAAGTTTCAAAATAAAAGTCAACCTAAAGACAAATTTCTTGTGTTGGCCTTTTACATTGCGATGATTGAGGACATTCAAATAGAAGTTATTGCCAACAGGATATAACACTTGGATAACACTTACCCATAAAAAAGAGATCATCTTTTTAGTTGTTGTTGGTTTTTCTTTCTCCAGAAACATTTTTAAAAGAGCTAGTAGCTTCCACAAACATCAAGAATGTACAAACAATGGTCATTGTGGCAAGGCTTTGAAGATCCTCGGCTGAATGAACATTAAAAGCCACGAGGCAGACATGCTCGGCGTCGAAACATTACAGTTATTTTAAGTTATACAAGTTAACAAACTGTACTTAAACACATTTAATACTGAGCAGTTCACTAGAAAATAAAAGCATGTCCGGTGTTATCCGCTTAGCTATTCCAGTCGTGTCAATTAACAAGATTTATTTATTTATTTTTAAACACTGACAGGATAAAAACATGTTTACAAAGTTTTTTTTGTTCTCAAATCCACTGAACCAAACAGACTCTCTGTGCTAAATATCAAAATGTATTTTTTTTGCAAATATCCCACTGATAATAGTGCAATAGATACAGTACAGTCAGAAACATACTCCCGAGGATTTAGAAACGCACCGCTTTGCGTTACCTTTCTGAAAGTCGGCCGAAGCAAAAGGAAGCGGAAAGGTTTTTAAATTCTCTGAGTATCGCACGCACTCCTCGTGTTTGGCGCCATGTCTTTAGTTACAGGTAGTTAAAAATTAGAGTTTGTGACTTTAGTGTGAGCAAAGAGTCACTGATGGTTGATGACGTTACAGAGCGACTCGTGGTTCTCCCACCTTTAATGGTGTGTTTGAAGAGCCGGTTGTCGACTCGGTAAGCAATAAATTACAACTACAGCCTGTTTCCTTCCTAACTCTGAATTTCATCTTACAACTTAAAAAATAAAGAAATAAAAAAGTCAAACAATTTGTTTCCTATTTCCCAACTATCTGTACAATTAAAAAAAAAACGTTTTACATGTCACGTCTGGGGTGAACGTGCACACTTGTGTTTCATGATTGATGTGATTATGTCTGGTAGTGTTTTTAACTCTTCCCTCTCTCTTTTACAGCCTGCGGGTCGAAAACTAAGCGGCAGAAAGAACAAGCGGGGCCTCATTTATAAACCGATCCATGGATTTCACAAAGAAATAAAAGAAAAAGAGAAACGTGTAGATTTTCCATTTACATAGACCCCGCTGGTCATGCCGTGAGTCTGCTAACCCATGTAGTCAAAGATGAATGATTAATGACGGGCCTGCTGTGAGTGTTACTACACACATCAATCAGCTGATCGTACTAGCTCGTATTCATGCAAGCCACACGGAAAATTCCGGAGATCTCAAGTCATACTTGTTTTTGAAAACATTCTGGGTTAATCTGATGAAGGAGAGCAGATGTGGGTTAGATATCACTGTGGCTTACTTCTTTTAGCTGATGACATTTCCGTGTGGAGTATTAAGGGGCGAATTTAAAAATCCGCACCTCCAAATCTGGCGTGGTTGTCTGGCAGAAAAGGATGGGGTGCCAACTCTGGGATGGAAATGAGTTGAGTCCCCTTGAGTTGTGTCTAGTGGAAGAGTTTCCAAAGGAAGGGAAGAAGGTAGCGGGAGATTAACACACGGGCTGGCGTGGTCTACACTGAATCTATGTTCCCAACTTCATGCACAGTTTTGGGTCATGAATGAGCCCACAGATACAAGCGGCTAAAACGAGCTTCCTGAGAAAGACGAGCAGAGTAACAGATAGTCTGAGGAGCTCAATCGCCCGGGAGGAGTTCACAGTAACCCTGCTATCACCTCCATCTAAAACTAGCTAGCTGAGGTGGTCCAGAGCACTTGGTTTCCTATAGGTGAGATGTTACGGGCATGTCCAGCTAGGAGAGATAACATCATCTCCGCTGGCTCGGCAAAGCCTCAGTGTCCCTGTAGGAGAGTTGGAGGCAGCTGCTATGGGGGAGGGAGGTTTGAGCATCGAAGCACAGAGTGCCTTCCCTTTGAGCTGGACGTGGATAAGTGGCAGGATGGATGGATGTTTACCAAATTACACGGAAACTCCACTAATGGGAATGTTTACGTCTCCGCAGAACTACAAAATAATATATGTCTTTTTTTTGTCCTGTTGATGGGGTTCAATGTATTTTACTGCATTTCCAGGGTCGAGTTAACATCTGTATCTGTAGGGGAGAGCATTTTGCATTTTTCATGTTTATAAATGAGGCCCCTGGTGGAAAGCAAATGAAAGCCTTTATAACACAACAGCCAAACCAAAAACAACTTCAGCCCAGCGGGGTAAGCAGAAATAATCAAAATCTCTCCTCTAACACTCATCAATCATCGCTCTCGCTGCTTGACCAAAACTATAATTCTCTTTGCTTCGGTCAGCCCGCTGGTCAATTCTACCAGCGACAGCAGATACAACATGTAACACTGCTAAAAAAAAGAAGAAGTCCCAATACAAACAGAACGATACACATCCAAACCCTCCTAAAAAAAACAAAAAACCCAATGATAATCATCCACACGATCTGAGTGTTTTCACTGACTGCCTTGGTGCCAAAGCTTCAGCCCGCAGTGACCCACACTTGAGTGCATCTCAGGTAATGGTGCGCCGACTTGTACGAGGAGGAGTCGAGGGGTGGAAAAGGCCGGGTGGAGGGTGAGGCAGCCCCCGCCCCGTCTCTTCCCGTCCTCTTCTGTCCCTCTCAGGCATCCTCCCTTCACCTCCTCTCCTGAGCTCAGCAGGGGTCGTGTTTGTGGAGATTAAAGGTGGTGTGGATCACGTGCAGGGAGGGATTGGGGGTGAGGTGGGTGGGACGAGGGGCGCGGGAGCCAGGGTCACTGTCGTCGATCCTCCGTCTCTGACCGTGAGAACGCCATCACCACATCCTCTGCACCTGAGAATCAAGGTGAGACACAAATACAGACTTTTAATGTGACATGCTTTTTATCTAACACCAGCATCGATCGATAAAGTACGATAGAAAGGATAAAAAAGAAATAAAAAAACACTACTTGGGCTACTTGTGCGCTTACATTTGACTTATGCCGTGTCTCTACTGTTGCACTGTAACACTGCTGCTGCTGGGCCCTTGTGGCAATAGATACACACTTTGAATGAGGTAGTATGTCATCAGTGACAACAGCACATTGGAAAAGGATGGAAAATGCCCTTCATTTTGTTCGCACTAATAAATGCTGCCGCCTGCACAAGCTGCAAGCATCGATAAAAAGCTATTTAGTGTTTCTTTTTCAGACTGTCAGAAATATCATAATCGTAAATTTCCTTTATTCCGGGACATCGTTTTGAGGCTATATTTCCCACCTCTAGTAGCCACCCGGACAGGACATGATGGAAAACCAAAAAAGGTAAGGATTTTATTATCAACTGGGAAGGAAACTTTACTTCCAGCTTCAGAAGATAAGCTGTTAAAAGAAACTATTTACTTTTCTGACTAACAGGAAACGTGTTGTTGCCTTTTCTTAGAGTCGGTCTAAATATTGGACTATGCACAGAAGCAGTAAGTGCAAACACAACCATACAGAAATACTAAGGAACTTTTGCGCTAGTCATGAAAGATTTGAGAAGAGGCCTCGGGCAGAGACTTATGAAAGTTACCTGATGCCTTTACAACAAAGTCAAGTCTGCGAAACATTTGTTGGGCTGCATGCACAAAAAACAAGGCCGCTCTCTGCCGTGAGGGATCAAATTGCATTCTTCTAGCTACATGCATCTATCGCGGTCAGTCTTCCACATGTTTTGTGCTATCGGAAAACCTAAAACACGTTTGAGTTCAAAGCCAGACAAGTTTTCCACAGGTCCTAGGATCCCGTCGGTATCCTGTAAATCCTGTCAGCTGTGACTATAAAGCCGAAGGGGAATACCCTGCCGTGAAAATCCTTTTGGTGCATGCAGGTAATTTCGTGTATCGCCATATATGTATCACCTACTGTGGGAACCCACCCTCCTCAATCTGAAATCACAGCACTCTGACTGGAGATACTGCAACACCCTGAGTGGCTCACTGACCTCCTACATCCTGCTCTGCAATGATAACACTTAAATCTGAGGCTTCAGCACCAGTCAGTGTCCTCTGCTGTAGTACAAGTGTGTCTGCCAGTAAACTGTGTGAGAATCCAGCAGATTTCCAATTCGTGGAAAAAACTATCAGTGTTTACCATTTCCTTTATTCTTTCTGTGCTCGTTTCATTTTGCCACCTTAATGAGGACCAACCGATAATTACAGCCTCATTTGTGTTGAGTCAACTAATGAATCCTGCCAGCTACACAAAAAGGACTTTCTCAGCTGGCTTCTGCTTAACAAGAAATCATTCATTAGTCTGCTGCCAACTGTGATTTGTCAAGTGATTTGGACACACACCCACCGAGTGTGTTTTTTTACTCTCATAAGTGGATATACATTTTCCACTTCTGTTCACATAACATTAAATAAAATATACAAAGGTAATTCAGTGCCTCATATATTCAGCTGTTCTCTCATATTAAGCACTCCGGCATTCAGAGTTTAAACAAAGAAGAACATATCTAGTTGTCAAAAAGGAAGTACTCTCCCTCTTTTAATTTTAAGGTTTTACATACAGGACAACACAACTTCTTCACATCATTGCTTCAGTTCATTGATGTGTGTTTGCATTCATTCATGCACAGCTCTCTTAAGGTCCCCCCCACAGCATTTCAATCAGGCTGAGGTCAGGACTTTGACTGCAAGATGTTAATTCTTTTCTTTTTCAGTTATTCTTACAGATGTTTTGCTTTGCTCGATTCATTGTCCTGCTGCATGAGGCAGTGTGGGCTTCAGCTGTCAGACAGCCTCACATTTGACTCTAAATACTTATACAGGCTGCAAAACAAGCGCAAATCATCATCCCCACCACTGCGGTGACAGTTGGTTTGACTTGTTTGTGCTGAAATGATGCGGGCAAATGGTTTTCTGCAAATGTGTTACTGTGTGTTATAACCAAACGTCTCCACTTTGGTCTTGCATCTCTGAAGGTTATTGTTCTCAATGTGCAACTTTGCAAACCCAAGAGAAGCGGTTTTCTCCTGACAAAGCTTCCAGACAAGCTATATTTACATTTAACATGCTAACTCAGGCCTGCAGAAGCTGAGATGAAACTTTATTTATTTTGTTGTTTTGTTTTTCTGACCTTGGGGTGAATTTGCTGGGATGCACACTGGCAATGATTGTTTGGCAATGGCCTCCTAACCCTCCCCAGATTGTTGGACCAGCAACTATTGCTTCTCTAAGATCACGACTGATGGCTTTCCTCCTTGGCATCATGCTAACACACACCTGAATGCTGCAGAAACAGCAAACTTCCAAACCCTCTGCTACTTCTCGAGGTGCAGATACCTGTTTATTATTATTAGATTTTGTGTTTTTTAAGACGCTGTCTTTTCTTTGTCACATGACTATCAAGTACTTTTGCACCACTGCATAACTGTTGCTGGATAGGATGTCAATGGGCATTTCCTCCACCAGCTCTTCAAGTCAGAGTGATGCCGGAGAGGCTGATTTGCACCCATGTGATAATACAGAGGCTTAGCTAAATCACAACGAGTGACTGGGGGTCATGTGTCCTCCCTTATGCAAGCTCTAAGCAGGCAGCACCCTCATCTAAGCTAAATAGAGTATTTCAAGTCTACTGTTGCGTGTTACATGTGAAAAAGCCTAGCGGAAGATAATGTCCCAACCTGATTCATTTGAGAATGACGTGGGAGACCCCATTAATGTCTCCCAAAACCTTAAATTAAAAAAGCTACCTCAACGATGAGAGGAGAAAAACGATAGCAAGGTGCAATAGTCTACATCCACAGTACGCATGAGCATGTGATGACATAAAAACCATCTAATAAGCAACATAACAGAAATCTCATTAACACCGAGCTCCACACCTTTTCAAATGGTTAAGAAGAATCTCTATCAGCACCTCGTGTGTGCCTGCTATAAAAAGCCTTTCTTCTCTTCAGCCCTGAAGTGCGTGTTAGATTTAATTATTATGGAGATATGAAAGTAGGCCAGGGACTGTGAGCCTTCACATGTATTTGGCACATAGGGCGGACCCTCCTCATCAGATGGCACAGACCCTCCAAAAAACCAGAATTTTGTTTTTAATTTGCTATCGCTCTGGGAAAATAATTTGCATCTTTCTATAGCGCATTCAGGTCATCCTGGAGCTTGATGAGATCAAGATTTTTTTGAGGGGGGCGGAGGCTTAATGTGATCTTTCAAGCTCCCCCTCCCATGGGAGCTCCCTGGCTTACCCAAAAGAGACTACAAGAAAGAAAAAAACAGTATCAGAAACATGGTGCTTGACTTCAGCTCATAACACAAACCTCATCTGCTCTGAGACACCACGTGGGGATAAATGGTGCTTGAAAAAGAGACAATTATGTAATACCACACAATAGGAGAGTCGACCTGAATTACACCTCTGCTGAATAGCACGGATCATGTTTTGGTGCAGCAGCGTGTAATAACAGCCATTCATCAGAATAAACGCCTGCCTGAATTATTTTGTGTGATGGGAGTTCGTTATTGTGTAGCGGGCGGTTCACGCTCTGAGCAACTTGGGCAGAATAAAGCAGCCGATAGTTTCTCCAGATACTTCCACAGATGGATGGAAGGGCTTTATCTGAGCACTTTGCCCTGCCACACACACACACACACACACACACACACGCACACACACACACACACACTCTCGCCAACAAAATGGAAACGTCAGGTCCCTCAACACTGTTGCCTAGCGACAGATAAAAATCACGACTGCATCACTCCCGTTGCGGCCTATGAGCAAAAAGCTTTCGGTCTGTTTCGTTGCAGCTCTGCGTCCAGCCCCCTTTCTCCTTCCTGCTCCCCCACCCACCTCACACTGGCTCCTTCCTCGCCACACGAGAGCGGCACAACACCGGATGGTGGATTATATGAATACAGCGACAGTAAATGTGCTCAGTCCACCAAAAGAAACAAAATAAGAACATTAATGCGTTCACATGAACATATTCATAAGCAAGCAGCCTTTCTTCGCTTTTCTGAGACTACAAATCAAAATGTGGTTGCCTGGGATTAACTGCAAAACACACAGGCCTGCAGAAAAACCTCAGAGGACAAGAAAACTGTGAATTAACCCAAAAAGAAGTTTGTTTGATGTCAAAGGCGCCAAGCTGCACTCCCGAGGGTGTCTCCAGCCTCTACATGATGACTCTAGTGTAGCAGCGAGGAAGCACCAGCAACACTTCAGGTCACAATCTGTGCAGGGTCAGGCCAGGGGATAAAGGCGTGGGACACCCATCATCCCCCCAAACTCAACAACAGCAGGGGCGAGTTAAGAAGCGTGACACACAGCGGGGAAGTGTGTGTGGTCCAGCTCAAAATATTTACCAAACACAGTGGGTCTGTCGGCTCACAGCCCTGCACTTCTTCCTGCTTAGTAATTATTACAACAACATAATTTTAAACTGTCATTTTAAACAAGATAATAAATCTCAACAACTTTGTGGTTTAAAAATAAAAAAGACTATTTTAATGCTATCCTTTATAAACAAGGCTGTACAGATAGATTTGATCTGTTTGTAACAACATTTGTTTTTAGAGAAAAGAACTAAAAATCAGTTTTGGTTAAGGAGATCATAAAGCAGTTCTTTCAGACATACTCTAACACACCTTCTGGCAGATTTGGAATAGAGATATAAGGAGAAACTGAGGCAGACGTGGTACTTAATAAATCTGAGTGCTGGGCAGCAGACTCATGCTGCAGTGAGGAATCGGATAAAGCCAGGATCAATACTGCTATGGCCAAGCCAAGAAGCCAAACAAAGCGGGGGGAGGGGGTTTGCTCAGTGCTCTGACCTGGTCTGAATATATTGATCAAACATGGCTGCGGTGAATGAATGGATGAGACAGACAGAAAGAGACCCGAACATCACAGCCAGGCTGTGCAATTAGCACCCCAGCCTGGCCCTTTCATGACACCTGCTCCACTCCTACCAGTGTAGCACGTCACAACACCACCGAGGCCCAGAAGGGAAGGTCAGCTTTCCTGGGACATCTGAGGTTGCCATGGCAACCCCACTACTCCTCCACCTCTATTGTTGAGGCCATGCAGCATCCTTCTGGGAGGAATAAACTTCCCTCGTCAAATCAGAAAGGATAACAAGCCCCGAGACTGCTGCCTTTATGAGCGTTTTGACAAACCGTATTGTTTAAAGTGACATGACGCCAATTACAGAAAGCTGTGGATAAAAGAGCTAAAGAGGAGGAATAAAAAGCCCTATTACAAAGACAACCACTGTATTACTGCGCGTCAACTAGTGTGTCAACGAGGTCTCTGCATCATAACGTGTTAATTCGCTTTAAATAGACACAGTTATTGTTCAGTATTAGTCAAAAAGTGGCAATTAACACTCAAAGGGAGTGCCAAAAAACACAATTTCAGGATTTCTCACTTCAATGCCAAACATGGTAACAGCATTTAAGCACAGCTTATTATCCTTCTATGCAGATTAAAAAAAACAACTTCATTAAGGCGTTACAGTAAAAAGCTGTGTGGAAAAACCCCCCCATCTCAGCTACGGAGCCTTCGGCAGAGAATTCCTCTTTGGCCTGATTAAAATCGCAAAACAAAATTCTGTATTTGCATGTATGGTAATCAGCCAATTAAAACTATCTGAAATGCAAATCCAGTGACCCCTACTCTTACAAGAAATATGAGTGGCAGAAAGCTGATTTTCTATTGTTTTTTGTTTGGTTGGTTTTTTCCCCCACAAGGAAGAACCAGTAAAAAAAAAAATCTGGTAGTTGAGCAGAGTCTGAGAAAATGAGTCTCATGTGAGCTACATTCCCACTCAGTCCACTCGACATGATGAAGACTGAACACTTCTCTGCTGCACATCATTTTTGCACCAGAACGTGCTAAGCAGACGGCAACCCTGATGTTATCCATCAGTCACATCAGTAGAGCTACACCTTAGGAGATGTCTTGCACACAACCTAACCTTGATTTCGAATAACATCAGAGGACATTTTCACTACTCCACTGTGCACGCAGCGCCCTCTGAGCACCCCACCACCTGATCAATGACGCCATGTGTGACACTATCGCTCCATGCTGACACCCCTTGAGGGTGCTGGTATCAGAGCATCCTGCGTCAGCATGGTCAAACTACGCTGCGTTTCACATAATCACAAACCAGTCTCAGTTTAGAAAGTGTACCAGTATTGATGACCGTGTCACCCGTTCGCGACGCTGAGAACATGGGCAGACCAATTTTTCCCCAGACAGAAAAACTCAATAATTGAAAAATGAGGCCTATAATTCAACATGATCATGATGCTGGTATTAATAAAACGTTATCAATATCAACCCCTTAAGTACTACGAAGCGAATAATAATTAAAGCTGTAGCTTCAGCATCTGCTGCAGAGATTAACCAGAAGTTTATGGAGATGCAACTGCCAGCTTGACCCACCCTCACTTATGGCAACATTTTAGTAACAGTGTTGACATCCTTGCCAATCTCATTTAGCAACCAAAGAAAACCCCAAACAACTGAAGATAACTCGCTGGTACAGACAGTTCTGCTGGTTCATCCGGCGGGATGGTACAGGTCTCCTGTTATTATAATGAAGTGTGAGCAGTGCAAACTAGATAGAGTACAGCATGAGTCAAACCTCTCGGTACAGGTGTTGAGAATTTGTCTAGCAGCAGAAATACACATTCAAATACTTTCTAGTGCAAACGCCCTTTCCTCAAAGTGTATGAATAACATTAGCATAATTACCTATGTTTATCAGCTTGCTGTGTGACTCACTACCAGGCAACAAATATATTTCCTTTCATCTTTTTTTACTCCCCAATTACCAAGTGTAAATGAGATCAAATACTGGACTTTCTCTTCACACCAATTGAAAAGATCCCATGTGTGCTGATCCCTACAAACCGCTGTCCTTCAGCACAGCGCTCAATATTTAAAACAGATTAACTCTCAGCAATCTGCACGATGCTTAATCACAATACCTCAGACATAGTGCAGACCACAAATTATCCACTGGCACACCGAGGAAGTGGCACGCTGCCAAATGACACTAAATGTGTCCGTTTCTGTGATGTATAATGCAGACTTGGAGCGCCATATTCCTCCATAATTGATGAGACTCTTCCTAGCTTTATTGACAAAGCAAAGACTTTGCATGGAGTGAGAGGCGGCGAGCACGGCAGCATAAACTGACAGCTAGACTGCAGTTAAAAAAAGAAAAATGTACATCATAAATTAATGACTTCAAACCAGTACTGATCTCCCATTCGGGTGCTGTAGTTTGAAATATATGACACGATCATACGTCCTGTCTGCTGCAGTTTTTTATATTCTGCTGCCTGATGAAGGAACGCAGTCTAATAATGAAATACACATCATCAGTGATGCAATGACCCATATTAAAAATTCAATGTCGCGTCCCACACTGCACAGTGAGGGCGCGATTAACAAAATGTCAATGTACTTCGGCGGCACGGCGCGGCACAGCACGTCGTACCTTTTACCCGCACCTTACTCAACACCTTATATAATCACAGCCTAATCCCCTCGACGCAGAAAATGTGATGTTTCTAAATTCAAACATGATTGTTTCCCCACAGAGCAAGGACGCAGACAAGGACACCTAACACTTCCCTCTGGGTGAAGCATCAAAGCCAATTTTCCAAGCTGGAAGCTCCCCTGGGGAACCCAATATCATAAAGGGCAAAGCAAGACCGGAGCCCCAGCAGGTTCACCACAGGAGGACAGCGGGACTCCGAGCTCGCAGATGTGTTTTTGGACTGAGCTAAAGTCTACTCACATATAAATAAATAAAATAGCAATGCTGCTGCTTTTTTAGGTAACTGCAGTGCCTTTTCACATATACCATTTTGTTAAATATAGCGCCCTCAGGTGGATTAAGCTCAGGAGCACCACAGATAGGTTTAGAAAGCTCAACAGCATCCTCTGCTGTCTTGACAAGGCATGACCAGCATTTGTAAGGTTACATCTGTAATGAAGAGTGATTTACAGAGCAAACATCAAAATATTATCCATTAAGTAAAGCAGAGGAGAAACTAGTGATGTGCTTGAGCTGAGGATGAGTCAGTTGTTTCCAGCCAGTCATGCTGTTTGTGGCGTGAGTAATCTCGCAGTGCTGGTGGGCTGCTGAGTCGGCCTCCTGTGCACAGTCAGCGAACCAGTTCGGCCTGCTGGGGTGCAGACTGTAAAGGATGATGTGTGTTGAGGGATTTTCCTCTTGTTTTTGGTCGGGCATTTTTTCCTCTAAGGGTGGTGTCTGTGGGCTAATGTTTTATAAATGTTTAGCAATAGCACGCTGCCATAAACACCTTTGATTTGTACATATTTACAAAAAACTATGAAAATTAGAACTATACTGATGTGCAAAATAGGAGTACAACAGGGTTTTTGAGCCTTTGGGGGTTGAATATGAGGCTGGTACCTCATCTCTATGAATTTCGCTGCCATTTGATAAACAAAGATAGTTAAAAATTTGTCTTTTTACAATAACAGTGATTTTCTTTTCACCCTGGATAACACTTACTGGGGCGTGCCAAAACCATCTTTCTGCAGTCCTATGAAAAACTAAGCACACCACATGGTTCAGTAGCTTGTAGAACCACCTTTAGCATCATTAACTTAAGTCATTATTTTCTGTATGACTTCATCAGTCTCTCACATCATTGTGGAGGGATTTTGGCCCACTCTTCTTTACACAGTTCCTTCAGTTCATTGAAGTTTGCCAGAGATCATTCATGTACAGCTCTCCTAAGGCCCTGGCACAACTTTTCAATGTGGGTGAAGTCTGGACTTCGTCTGGGTCATTGCAACACATTGTCCCGTTGAATGACCCGGTGGGGGCCAAGCTTCAGCTGTCAGGGATATGGCCTCGCATTTGACTCTAGAGTACCAACATCTGCACTTTGGTCTCATCTGTCCAAAGGACATTGTTCCCGAAGTCCTGTGGTTTCTTCAGATGCAGTGTTGCAAGCCTACACCATGCTGCCCAGCTCTTTTTAGAGAGAAGAGGCCTTCTGCTGGCAACCCTTCTAGCCATAATTGTTTAGTGTTATTCTAATTGTATTGCCATGAACATCAACATTTAGCATGCTAACCGAGACCTGCGGAGTCTGATGTGTAGCTCTTGGATATTTTGCAATTTCTCTCTGTATTGCACAGTCTGACCTTGGGGTGAATTTAGTGAGACATTCTTCCAGGGAAGAGTGTGGCAGTGTGTTAAACACCTAATGCTCCAGACCTAAATTAATGCAAACTGACAAACAGATCTGATTTTATAATCAATTAATAAAGTGCTTTTGTTTATCAGCACCTAGTGGCTACTTGCCCTGTGAATTTCTATGGAAGCAGTAAGGGCGTAGTTCATTTTTCACAGAACAGCATGAAGTGCTGAGAAAACTTTTTCACATGAATGTATTTTGCAACTACATGAACAAATATTTCCTAATAAAAAAATGCTTCAGCTAAAATGACTGCACCGTTAAACTGTGTGTGTGTGTGTGTGTGTGTGTGTCACAGCCTTACCCTGGTCTATGTTGTGCTGCGGTAGCTGGCTCATCTGACTGTGGACCACACCTGCGTAATTTCGGAGAAAAGCCTCTTCACTCGGCGTAAGCTGAAGAGGAGTGAACAAAGTCACTTTAAAAATCACAAAAAAGTAAAAACAAATTGAAATACTGACCTCAAAGACTAAGTCAAATACTTCTGTTCAACATGCTGATTAATGAAACACAGCAATTCTCTCAGAAACAGCTATGAGGAGCAATTTAGATCCAAAATATTTTGATTTTTAACATTAATTATTTCAAAGAAATTGATTTGTTTTTCTTCTCTCTGCTCCTTTAGCACACATTGCTTGAACAAACAAAATGTGTGCCAAATAAACTGAGGACTATCTTCTGTTGTTGTTTCACTCTAACAACATCATTATTAGGTGATGACCTGTGCAAACTGCATAGATCAGTTGAAGGTTTGGCTAGGGAATGGATTTCAGGTTATTATAATGTGTGTCTTTGCCAACTAAAGCAATAACCACAGTGTGCATGAGCTGTGCGTGCCTAAATCTGAAACTTCAAATGGCAAAGTTTTGCGGTAATCAATGTGTCTCCTTACATTTGATCCCATTTTCTTGAGCATGAGCAGGACCCGCACTTTCTGTTGGATGTACATGTCTTCAGGAGACTTTCCCGGGGCCTCCTCGCGGTTCATCCCCCCTGCTCCTGTGGCTCTGGACACACAAACACATCAGCATTACACAAGATCTGTGAAAATCAGTTACACAAACACAGTATTGATATGAGACAACTGGGTTGTTTCAGTGACACAGTGTGACAAGAGCCAAGCTCAAAGAGTGATTAGGCAATAAAGATTAGACCATTTCAACGAGTATCTTCAGCAGTTGTGTTATTCTGGATATTCAAAGCATGGATCCATCCTGCTTTCCAGGCGGGTGGTGCTGTAATGGTGCGGAGAATATTTTTGTGCCACACCGTGGCCTTCATTGTACTTATTGCATTGGTCGGTCTGGTTGGGTACGATTTATGTAAATTTCATCAGCATTGTCCATCAGGATCTTTCTACTGAGCATTTAGATTAAAATTTAGATAAAAAATGTACCAAATATATATCCACAACAGGCCGCAGATTTTAAAGTATAACAGGAATGACTACTGGGCAAACATATGTTCAGATGTCCGTGTCGAAACAGAATATAATCAAGGCTCTTAGGCTCAACAGCCTACCTGAGTTTTGTTCATGACAATGTCCAACTCTTAATGAAAACAGTTCACAAAGCTTAAATCATTTCAAACTGGTTTCTTGAACGTGACAGTGAGTTCACTGTACTCAAATGGCCTCCAGAGTCACCGTCACTGTGTCATCATATCAACATGAACCAAAAATCTTTGAGGAAACTTTCCAGCACCTTGTTTGCTTTGCCACAAAAAAATAAGGCAGTTCTGATATATAGATATATCGGACAGCCACACCCACAGTCTTCCAGTACTTCCAGACTACTTCATATAGTTAAAGTGCAGGTTTGGCTCTTTGCAGCATCATTAATATTGCACGGCAGTTTTTACACAGAGCTCGCCCCTGCCTGTTTCCATCTCTTATTCTCCATCTAACTAATGACCTATTTTCACTGTCAGTCTGCAGAGATGCGAAAAACAGGCAAAGGGGGGAAAAAAACCGGGAGCAAAAAGAAGGTGATAAAAAGAGCTGCCAAATCCAATGTGTGTGACAGGAAAAGGTTCTGCTGTGATATGACACACACACACACGCCAAGGTCGGCTGCTGTCACATTAGATCTCTTTTATGCCGCACCAACCAGACAAGCATACAGCACGTCTTCATATCAACCCTGAATTTAACCGCAAAGGCTAAACACACAAGAGAAACAATTCACACAAAAGAGCAAAATAAATCATTAAAAAGGATAAATTATGTGAGGAAAAAAAGATTTAATAGAGAGAAAATATCAGCATGCATGGCAGGATTTGTTCTTCTGAGAATATTTCATAAGAGCCACAGTGACTATGATAGCACTTGCAATTTATTTTGGCCTCTTATCTATACAAAGGACCACTAATGCATGTTGACAGGCTGTTTGATGTAGGGTTATATTTAATTGAGGAGCTGGCTTGCTGTTCCCCCTTTCCAGAGCCCTGGGGAAAGAGGATGAATGGGGTACCGTAGGCCACTGGCTAGCGTTTGCCACTGTGAGCATGTGGATTCATCCAGATCAGAGCAGCTGGAGACCATGCTTCTGGCACTTTGTAATTATAGCAATCTTTGGTGACTGTTTACTGCAAGTAGCTAGTACTTGACGTCTCCTTGTCAGCTAAAGGAAGTAGCAGGACGCTGAACGAGGAGCAGATAAATACATTAGTTATTCCCTTCAACCTGAGCATCAGCTGTAGCTTAATTGGAGAGCTGCTCCAGAAGACTCAAAGCAAGAAAGACATGAAAAGGCTGAGACGAGCTTGCCAGCATCAGTTCAGTTGCTCAGTAAACCTTCAGGGGATTGGCGGTGATCTTGTGTGAATTTATTTGGATGGGGGTAGTGATGGAGGGAGGATGTTGGTAGAGGGTGCCGGGGAGGTGTCAGTGTCTTTAGATCAGCAGCAGTGACACGTTTGATCACTTCTCCGAGCACCTAACCTCAGACAAACGCAAGAGCTAAGACTCCCGGAAAGAGACCTACCAGCAGGTAGACGAGCAGCATGAAGAATGAATGAAACTCAGGAGCTCCGATCTGCCTGCACACTGGGAATATGACAGTCATTGAATATGACTAGATAAAGAGTAGAGGATGAGGAGAGCGTCTGAAGTGAAACATTAGACTAATTGCCAAAAAGTGTTGTCTTGAGATCTATGAAGGCTGAAATGATGATGGAACAAAGACCCATCAGTTGTCTGTCATATTTTGAGATGTGACAATGTAACCATTTTCCCCCTCCTGCTGCTGGACCGACATATTCAAAATTCACCATCTGTATAAATAGGCCTACTGCTTTCATGACTGAGGCATTTCAGATCCTCTGATGTTTCCTTTTGAAGTTTAAAAACTGTCCATATTTAGCACCATGTCTACCCGGCCTCACTACTGTTTAGAGAGTTACAATTTGTATTTTTATCAGCCTGAAATGATTTTATTTTATCTCACATTCACAGCAATATCTGCTGTAAGAAGAACAAACATGCCGCATAGTCCCATAAGGACAATTTCGACAGAAATGAGAAACAATGTGGAAAATGTAAATCAGGACGATCAGAGATATTTTTTACATTATCATAATGTGTTTGAGAGTCACTTAAAAAAAGAATCTTCTGTGGATTTTATCCTTGCTTCTCCTGGCTGGTAGAGAGCAGAAGGATTAATTCACAGATGACTATTTTTGGCAGCAGAGCAGCTACAGAGATAAAATAAAATAATTACAGCTCTGGTACAAACTGAACCGGATTACAAAATGTACAACGCTGTAATTAACGCTGTGAAGATGCTTATAGATCGAGTAGTTTCACACATGCAATCCTACTAAACAAACTGATTTTCCAGCCACGTTGATAATTACCCAACAATAATTCACATGTACTCTGTAGATGCTCTCAGCAAAGGCTAAACTAAGCTTAAATAACAAGTGACAGTGGGAGAGCAGAAAACAGAATATGTAGTTCTATATGTATATTGTCTAATTTTAAATTGATAAACACTAAGATATCAATGCCAAATTAATGTTTTTTCCCTTTTAATTTTACTGTGTACAATGTATTTTATTTTATTTACATGTTCAAAATAAAACAGACAACCAACCAAACAATCAACCAGCGTAGGGTAAAGTCCAGTTTGAGATGATTTTCAAACCATATAACAATATGTGTCCAAACAATCATGTTTATTTCATGCAGGGTTTACTTTTACATATCTGACAAATAAAAAAGCCACATCAAACTTCAGTCAGTGACTTCATGCACAGTGCAAAACTTACATTATTGCTAAGTGAGATGTGAGCACCTTATGCCTCTAACAGCATCAATCTTTGAAAGGTCCTTCGCACGAAGGTCATTAGGTGTTTCCTAGAGTGCCTGCTGCAGCTTTTCTGTGGATTTAGTCTGTCTTGCCTCTTTATGTTATCTCAGAATGACTCCTTGATGCTGGGGGCTCCATGGGGGCCATGCCATCTGTTGTCGGCTCTTCTCGTTGCCAAATCTTCACGAATCTGACTACATGCTCAGGATTGCTATCACACTGCACAAATTAATTTGGGGGTCAATAAAACCCATCAATCGTGATAGATAAAAACCTGCAGGCTGTTCTACTCTGGTTTTTCAGAACATGCACAGAAAACCACTAACAATATCATCCAGGAGGCATCTGGATCAGACTTATGAACAGTAGAACTGCATTTGCCACTAATTCTGATCAATTCTTTGCCAAAAAACCCCAGACCCAAACCTTCAAGAACCTATATTCTTCAGCGCTGCCTGTTGTAGTGCTCTTAGCTCTTCTTCTACCATAAATTTACAACTAAATATTTTAAACTTCTGACTCATCTGTCCAGAGTGTCTATCATTATTTTTTCCACATCCTGGTTTTTCTCACATAGGCTTTGTTTCCAAGTTTCAGCAACGCCTCTTTGACCAGATTTTTTTACACTGTAAATAGGTGCACCGGAGTCCAACCATCGCTAGCTGCTAGCTCACCTAAATCTTCTTATTTTGAAAGAAAGTCAACTGCTGTGATCTCAACATTAATTTTGTGATTCATGAGTAGACAACACATCTGGTGTCTACCACTAGATAACATGCCTTCAAAAGTTGATACTTTTAATCAGCACAATAAGGCATAAGATTTAAAACAGAAAACTTCATAATGATTGTATATGTATGTAAAAGATTCAGACATTAAAGATGCAATATAGGAGTAAAACGGTCTCCTGCTCTGCTGAAATGCTCCGAATATAAACATGGTTAGGCATAGTGATATTTGCTGCCTACTAGGATCATGCTAGCAATATTCTGGTGTGCTCTGCTGTGTAACGTCTCAAATCCTTTCATGGACCACAATAAGGATCCTGTCAGACTCCTTTGTATGTTCCCGAGGTTAGGTTCTAGAGGTGGGCTGGCTCAAAGCTAATCCCTCGAGGGATACTCAGCCAGCCCCAGACACATACGGCTAATATTCCAGACATAATCAAAGGGTTTCTTTTGTGCTGATCTAGCTATAATCTCCCCCCTCTCTGCCTGTGTTGTGCTTTTGTCAGTGTTGTCTTGTTGGGCTGAGCTGAGACATCAGGCTCTCAGAGCCCCTCTAGGCAGTGGAGCTAAACTAAATCATCACTGAAACTAAACTAAAGAGTCTAAAAATGAGAATGCCTGGAATTTTATCGTGTTTTTGTCTCTATTTTATGGATTTTTAAGAGTTGTTTTGTCCATGACTGACCTATAAATGGACTAAAATTTCCAGTTGTACTGAGTGTGTATCCTTACAGTGCTCATTTTAACAATTTCAGTTCAACCCTCTATAATTTATGACTTTTAAACCTTCAAATAACAAGGGCAGTTATGCAGCATGGCGTGGGCATACACAACAGTTAGTCGCAGTCCAAGTTCTTTGATGTCTTTGATTAATGTGGCATTGCATCTGAAATCCCAAGCTATGTGCCATTGTTCAGCCTGTCCTGTGAATTACTATTAGCATACATTTCTACGGATGCACTACTTAGTACATTCACATTACTACTTGAGAACTGGCTGGAGATATGTTACCATGGTAACCCAACCTCGTTTAAGATTAACCAAGTAAAGATTAGGAAAATTTTTAAAAGTATATTATGCCTAGCAAAGTGAAACCATATATTTAAACACTTCAAAGGAAGAGCTACTGACTTAGATCTCAGTTGCCTTAATCTCTGTCTAGCAATTTCTTTCATGTACTACTGCATTGCATTGTGGGATATTTATGCTGGTGTAATGATTGGCATACATCTGGCCCATTTATATGATGTACCTAAATGGTCATTAACAGTTAAAGTGCATTGTCCCTTTTCAATAAAATAAACAGATTTAATGGGTACTCCCCATTTACAGGTATCAGGGTGTAACATAAATGAGGTTTAGCTTAAACTGAAGATCGGCCTATACATGAACAAAAGTACTCTGATGCCCTGCCCTGATTGCACGTGGTAAGAGACTAAGTATCTCTGACTTCTGCAGTAAGTCATACTAGGGCTGTGCCACAACATACCATCCATGACAGTACAGGCAGAAAACTGACAAAACAGTGTCATGTTACATCAATCGATAATATATTAAACATGTAAAGTGTTTATGTTATCTAGTGCACGCAACAATCAGACAAGGCCAGATCCTGTTTTTGACAGCAGGAGCTGCACGCCAGCCTCCGATGACTATTTAGTACCCACAAAACTATTTGCGCTAAACGTGGAAACAACAAATTTGTTTCACCACTCAAAGCAAAAGAAAGACACAGTCGTATAAAATCAGGCTACGAAGGTGTGTGAAGAGATGCTAGCAGCTGCTGATGTGCAACCCAAAAGTAAACAAATGACTGAACCGAGCATCGCCGGAGTGCCGGCTAAGTGCACTCCATACAACAGGAAGAGCAAACATTGGAGGGAAATTACTGATGGGGTTGCATTGTGGAAAAGGAGGGCTTTAAGCAGCTGGTCAAACAGAGAAAAATATCAGGTAGGAAATATTTTTAATTTCAGCTTTAATATGCGACTATATTGTCCTTGCTGCCCTACTGGTGCACCATAATGCTACTGCTGGCACATTGTTTCAGCAGATTCACACTTTGAATTACGTAGTCTGTCTCATTTCAAAAGAACGATTTTGTTTGCACTAATAAATGTTGTTGCCTGCAAGCTGTAAACATCAATAAAACTGTCCTCAGAAATATCATTATTGCAAATTTCCTTGAAAAATTATGATATAACTGTTGGGCTTTATCGCCCACCTCTGAGCTCATATTTGGTTGGATTAGTAAAAGGTCTCTATGAATACTTTTTCAGATTAAAATTTCAATCAAGTTATGATAAACGTGCAGGAAAATAAATCTCACGTTAAACTGTGTAGTTCAACGTGTTATGAAATATGTACTCAAATCATGCATTCCTTCAGTATTTTACACATTTTAAGCTTTTTATCTACCTCGCATCAACATTCAGCTCAGGATCACCAATTAACCTACCGTAATAGACATGTCTTTGGACTGTGGGAGGAAAACCTAACAGGCACAGAGTGAACACGCAAACTTGATTCGAGAACCAGAAACCTTCTTGCAGTGAGGCTGCAGTGCACCACTAACATTATATATACACTTTTTAAAAACATGGAGGCAATTATTGTTTCCACTAGTGTCTGCACGTAAAACAACCAGAATGACAGATCACATTGTACTGCTTTTTTCATCAGTGCGTTTTCTCCTGTTATCAGGGTGAAACATGGGACACGCGTGTCATGCTTGCCAAGATGGAAATAACAAGCAAAGGCCTTACTTTAAAATGACTACTGTCACCAATGTTTGCTAAAAGTGCACAGTTAAAGATTGCTACCACTCCAGCAAATGGGATTATGCTTGATTCAAATGTCATTGCAGTGCCACATCTCTTAAAAGCCACTACACATTCAGTAATGCCACTTTAAAAATAGAGACAGGCCTATTGCTCGCATGCTGAATATTTTGTGTTGAATTGTGATTATGTGTGTGTTGGTGCCCATTAGTGTCTCTGAGAAACATAACCTTCTCAAGACCATTTCAGGACTCTGGCCTGGCCTAACAGTGCAATGAGGGTCTGCTGCCAGGGATTACAGGATGCAATGTGATAGGTCTTCACATTTGCTGAGGGTCAAGCAGGGCGGAGGCTGCCACTGTTACTGGCTCTGCAATCAGCTGCTCACATGATGCATGACATCTGATTTACAAATCAAATTCCTCTGGCCAGCAGAACTCAACTGCACAGGGCTCTTGAGAGGTCAACAGCTTAAACTGGGGGAGGAAAAGCCGAGACTGTAAAATAACTTGAATGGAGTCACGGGCTGCTGCAACATCCCGAGCAAATGTGTGAGAAACCTAAGTAAGCTTGGTGTGGCTGCCAGCTGAGCTGCCAACAACCTGGCCTGGTTCTGCACAGCAGCTGTGCTGCTGCAGGTACACACATTTACGAACACATGCTCTTTTCTACCAATGGGTCATTGCGTGTATTAAAACTAGCCGACTGGAATTAGGACGGCACAATGTTGCCATTCAACACTGTAGTTTGGCAAATTTAGCCCAATCTTATCAGTTTTGTGAATTCTATACTAACACAACAGGGATGCAGCATGCACTGAGATGATTAAATATTAAATATCAACATAGTGTAATTTTCATTTTGTGGTTTATTGAGAGTTTTCGGGCCTTGTTATGTGAAAATTTGAAATTGTCATAGCCAAAAATCCCACATAAGGAAGTCTACTTGACACCCAGAGAATTGAATCCCTATTGAACGGGCAGATCGAGGTCCCGACACAACAAGCCGAAAGGCTCCGACTTGAACTTTGTGTCTGTCTGCATGCTGCCACCTCTTCATATGTACAATGTTCCCAACAATGGTGACAGTAAATGGGGGACAATGGCCGTGAACTAGTTTGTGGAAACATGATTGATAAGTAGGTCATGTCTTGTTGTCACCATGTGAGGCATGAACTCAACCCTGCCCAAGTGTTCAAGCTTTAGCAGGCCTTCTCCATGTATTCAACTATTCTTCAGCTAATTCTTTACGTCCATCCCGACTTCACTTTTTCCCCTCCTAGATGGTTCAGAATTTAATTGCAAATTTACATCTGTAATGTCACGGCTTTCCTTTGAATTTAAAAAAAAAAGAAGTTTTTTGCAGAAACATTTTACATTAAAATTCACACGACTTGATTCTGCGGTTTTGTCTTCTTACGTCTAATTCGATAAAGCCACTTTTCCCACAGACTGTACCATATTACAAAATAAATAATTTTATTTATTTTTTTACGATCACAGAACTTGTCAAGCTTGTCAAGTTGAAACGGAAGCTGCTGCCTTAAGATGGCCCCTCGAGGGCACTGGCTGCAAGATTTTCAAAAGAACCAACGTTAAAGGCAGGGCACTAAATGAGTGCAGGGACATGAGCATATCTCTTAACTTCCAACAGTGTTTTTAAGTCCAATTCTTTAAAAAAAAATCTAATCTGGTGTTCACTGGGAATGAGATTGGGCGTGTAAGCCACGAGTAGACGCAAGCAGTTCTAGTGTTGCGGTGTCAATCCACAAAAGTCTACTACGTGGCCTGGTTAATGCTGACAGGATGACAAGTGCTGTGCCAAACACAGAGCAAGCAGTCATGAGATAAAACAGCATTGCCTCCCAAACTCTGCTGGCAGGCAGCTGATGAGGTCCCCTCGGGGCTCGAGGAGGCTGAAGAGCAGCGAGCACGAGGAGGCCAGTGGTCCTAATCTCTCTGAGAAATCCAGACAGCTAGGAGAATGTGCAAACTAAAGCAGGCTTTACATTACTGCGGTCCGTGACTGGTATTCGTCAGGAGATTTCAAGTGTGCTTGCCAATGTGGCAGAGCCCCAACACCCACACTCATCAATGCCCTGCTCCCAATAGGGTGCCAGCTTTGCCACTCTAGGAATTGTCAGCTTTCTGACATGTAGGAGGAGGAGGTGGTGGTGGTGTAAGCAGACATGGGTAACTGACGGTGTGGCACAATGCATCCATGGGTGAGACCATCCAAAAATAGAAAAGCAGCCTTGTGGGTTATGTGAAAAGCAAACTTGAACACAAAAAAAGTGGCCAAAAAAGCTTTGGTGGAGCTTCATGTTTAAATTTTAAACTCCAAGCCCAAGCATTGCCTTTGGGTGGGTGTTTGGGGACTGGGACAAATGTACTGTGCACCGCATGGAATTTCCAGCAGGAAACAGAAGGAGCCGTTATCTGAGACACGTTATGAACAATATTGTGAACATCGTGAGCGTGAGTGCAAGTGATTCAAACAGCTACGATATCGCAGGGTCATTTACAAGTCTTCTTAAATCTTCCCCAAATGTGAATAAAGCAACAGAAATGCCCGGAAACCCAGAGTGAAATAAAAACAGCTGTTTCTGTAAGAGGTGGGCACGCATGACCGTGGACTGGTTCCGTTGTCATGCTGCGGGACGCAGACTGTTCAAACTGTAGCAGCGCTCTCGCTAGCAAGCGGCGAGCCTCAGTCCGTTTTCGATGCGGGTCTTAAGCTATATCCTTCACGGGAAGGAAAAATGTACGGACCACACTCGTTTCTTTAACTTCCGAGTGGCTTTTGTTTTAACGTAAACACCAGCTTCATTTAGTCTCCACCAAAAAGGAAAACAACAACCAGGCGCTACACACTGGCAAAGCGGGCGATGCTAACCAAGCTAGCTCGCTAGCATGCCCCAGACAAAAGCCTGAATGAAGTTCCTATGGGTGCAAACACCATCCAGGTATCGCTGCTCCGCCAGAGGTGCAAACGCTGGGATTCGAGCACACGCATCGTTCCTAAACCCCCTGACAACGTTTCCCTCGTAAGAAAACTGGAGATTTGTGCTTACCCCTCCTGGTCCAGGTTTACTTTCTTCTGTGCTCTGTTTGAATGGTGTGTTGTTGTAGGAGGGCGTCCTGTTCCGGGGTCACATCCCTCCAGTCGGCAGAGCTACGGCGAACTGACTCAACGCAGCGACTCTCCTGCTGGCTCCCCGGTACCTCTGCCGGCCACCAGGGGCGCCACCGGCTCAGCCATCATTGCACACTCATCAGTGGAGTCTGAGCCGTGAAACGTGGTCTTGGTCCGACAGCCGGGTCACCAAAGGGTAAATTCGGATCTCTGTATGGCTGGTCTTTTTAAAGAAATAAATAAGGTGATGCCGGAATTAATACAAAGTAGTGAGAATGTACAGAAGGTATTTCTAGCTCTTCATAAGTTAAAGGAATCATAAATAGTAAAATAATATATTCGTTTAGGTCTATAAACTCAAGTTAAATTACATTCATGTGAGTTTGTGAGCATAAAATTATTTATTTATTGATTATTTCTTTTTATAATTAGTTTGTTTAATTTTATTTATTTATTTATTTTTATTTTGGAGGTTAACTGTGGTGTAGACTCTTTATGCCTTTTTTTTCAATACTACACTAACAAAACAACAGGACAAATTAGGACAAGACAGACAAACTGTGTATTTAAATACAAATAACATACATTCAAATAAAAAAAACAACAACACAGGTTAATGTTGAAGGTGTATTTGATGTGCAGTGCGTAAAAGCTGAACACAGGCATTACTTTTGTTAGTTTTTGGCTCAAGAGAGAGAAGAAAAAATAAATTAAACGTAGTTAATAACAATAATTATAACCATTATAAAATAAAATAATAATACTAATAGCCATCATTATCATCATCATCCTATTTCCTATTTCCATTGTCATCGTCATCTTCTTTTTTGTTAGTATTATCATTCAACATATTATCATCATACATATGGCTATTAAAGTATAAATGAGTCTCTAACTACAAGTTAGAACCTTATAGCTTCATATAGCTATACTTATATCTACACAAGTATAGCTTTTATAGATTGTGATTATAATTAGTTAAAAAGTTAAAAAGAAAAAATAATACTAATAAAAATAAAAGTAAAAAAAGGAGTCACTTGGGTCAAACAGGTAGGGATTATGTTGTAATATGATTTTAAATGATCCTCACCATCGCACATCTCTGAGCCACTTCCGTGTGTAGTAGTTTTTCAATAAGATACCTCAGGCTGTTCATCACCTGTTTTGTGTCTGGATTGTTCATTACATGCATTACATTTTTACTTCTGTTGCGGTGAAATTCGGCCATATATGCCCTATAAGCAAAACTGAATGTGACACTCCTGATTTAAGAGAAAGCTCACAAAATTCTTTTGCAAAGAACCACTCAGTTAGTTTTGCAGCACTTTTAATTGATGTCCAATGAAAAATATAATTTTCAAATTTTTTTGTTGAAAAAAAAACAAAAAAACAACCAACAATTCAGATTCTTACTTTTCAAAAAGACATTCCTGCAAGAAACTTATTAGCCAATTGAATAGAAAAGTTGATACTGCTTTACCACTCTCAAATATTTCGATGAAATATGATCAAGTAAGAGAGAAAAACACAAAAAAAGCAGTCATGGTTTTACATAGCTTCCACAACATACTCATACTTAATACAGATAATCAGGCCAGACTGCAATATCTGTGACCAACATCTATACCAAAACAATAGACAGATGCGGACACATTTGTTGGACTTTATCACATCTGCAAAAACCACTGTACATTATCACAAATCACTTTATTGCCACTTCCTCAAATATGGAAGCTAAACTGCGAATGTTTCTAATAAACAAGGGGGCTACTGTGTATAAGGAGGTACTGAAACTAGTAATTTATTTTTGTAGTGGTGTTGCACACCAGACTGATATGACCTAAAGAATAGTTGTAGATAAGCAAGTCCCTCAGACTTGAAATGCTGATGAATATTTAGGGAGAAATGGAACATGGGGGTGACTTTGGTGGATTTGGCCTTTTTCCAATCAATCTGCCTATTTGAAGTTGCAAAAACGAGCGTAACATTCAGCTAACAAATGGCTTGGATTCTAGAAAGTTCTCCCTTTACACTCTGTTTACTGACATCATGTTTACCTCCTCATAACGTCTGAAGCACAAGTAAAAACAGGATGCAGAGAAAAGTCTATACTGCATCTCATAATTTTTAGCTGCACGCATGTTAATCAGGGCAGAGCCCGAAACTGATTCAGCAATATACTTTACAATTTGCAAAATAAAAAAAAAACCACACACAACAAAGAGTAGCCCATTAATTCGTTTTTCCTGACTTAAACATGGAGTGCTTAGTGGAGCCCACATTGAAGGACACTGGCGAGCTGTATTTTAGGTCTGTTCCACAGTGAATCGCTCAGTAGTTTAAAGTACCTTAAATCCTCATGCTGTGTAATCTACACCTACACTTGCTCTAACTGTACAGAGACTTGTACAAAAAGTAGAGACCTTTTAAACCGTTTTGCAAAAATAAAAGAGGCTATAAATAGCACATTATTTTCTTTCATTCAAGTGGACCCTGCACGACTTACGGAATGACATACAGCATGTAAAGTAATGCGAATGCACCACAAAATGAAATGACACAGCATACGAGCTCACTTTAAATAAACGCCATATTTTACAGCATCAGATATGTCAAAGTGTGGTTGTGCTTGACACTGCAAGCATGAAATCGCCCTCATGGCACCTTGTACACCCATTAAAAAAATGCAATGGAGATCACAGTTTAAGTGCATATTTAAATATTAGAGAACACACACAGACACACACACTCACAGATGCGTACTGCTCTTTCTAAGATCATAGACCTAGTCCAGGTTTACACTTTCAAAGAAGGCATGACATCAATACTGCATTTTGAGAAAAACATCCACAAGTCTATGGCTTACATGAGTCTACGGATTGTCTTATTCTGGGACCTGCTGAAGCTTTTTTTTTTTTTCTGTTCTTTTCACCAAACATATATGAGATCTTTGCCTTGCGCATAAAAAAAAAATCGTATATTTCTCCAGAAAAAGGGAATAGAAAAATAAAATAGAATTGTAACTTCAAAATCTAAAATAAAACTGATTACACTTTCATGGTGTCTTTTAAATATGACGCTGGAGTCAGCAGACAGTCTGCTTAGCTTAGCATAGTTAAAGCAAAGCAGCTAGTCTTTCTAAAGGAAACAGTCACTTTTAAAGATCACCAATTAACATGGACTGTGCGCAGTGCTGCAGTGGTGAGCACTGTCACCTCAAAGAAATAAGGCTGGTCTGCAGTGGGGGCTGTGGTGGAGTTGGCATGGTCTCCTGTGCGTATCCCTGTGAGGTTTTTCCTCCCGCGGTCCAAAGATATGCTTGTTTGATTAACCAATCATCCAAAATTGTCCATAGATGTCCATGGATGCGAGGAGGGACATTACCCCGCCCCTTTCTCAATACCACATAATATAAGCTCCACCTTCCCTAGTACCCTAAAATGGATAGGATAAACCTAGTATACTTAAATCTCACTTAAGCTAAAAGGCAAGTAAGTGTATTTCTTAAAATAAGAGTAGTATCAGGGTACCTTTAGCTATAGGTACACACAGCCTGGTACACAGGCATGTTTTCAAAATAAAAGTCCTACATTTTCTTAGACTATACTATAAAATGCTTCATGTGTATTGGCACATATTCTTCTTCAAGGCAACATTAGACAACAATGTTAGAACGACAAAAAGCATCACCTCTTTTTGAAATATTCTTTGCGACCTAACAAGTACATCAGCACTCATTAAGTAGTTACCACAGTTAAATAAAAATACAATAATGATAATATATATATTTTTTAAAAAGACACGTTTTGCAAAGATACAGTTGAAATGAGAGGAAATAACCTCATAACAGCTATCGTGGGTTGTAAACCGTACGAAAGTCTTGAGGTGAAACTGCTGTTCCCTGCCGAACAGAGCCTCAAGTCATCATAAAGTTAGTTTGCAGCTTGCTCCCTGATGAGTAATGCAGTCGATGAGATGAACTTTCTGTTTCGGTGATTCATGACACTTTGCATGAGCAGGTGGTTTTCAAGTAGCAATTTCAGCAAATCAAAAACAGGTTTATTCTCTGGGTTGAAATGGTCCTCGTGGCAAAGACATTCCACTGATATATGGGAGGAGGATGAGTGCGATGGATTTTCTTCACTGTGAAAATACTTGTGTGTGTGGAAGTGATGCTCCAGGATTATCTCATTATCTTTGGATGCCTCTGCTTAGTTGTTATTTACCACATACAGGCCACTGAGATGTAAACGTTTGCTAAAGAGCTTTTCAGAGTCTTTGAATTCCTTCTGTCAAGTAAAATATTAGACTGTGTATAAGTTAAAAATCCATGTATTTGGCTGGGCCTCATGTTTCATTGGTTCAGTGTTCTTCATGGTCTATTATCTTTGGCCAGTGAGTGCATCATCCAGTTGACCTTGGTCTTCCAGCTTTCCCGCAAGGCTTCGTTGAACTTTACTTTGAAGTTCTTCAGCGCCTCGTCCTCTGTTTTGCCCAGCGCTAAAGAGTCCTTTTAAAAACAAGAAACCACTAATTATTAACATTGTTGTCATTCTCCTCATAATCATTAACTGCTACATCATAACTGTGGCATACCTTTAGATACTGTATGTCTTTGAAGGACGTGAGTTCAGGTAGCCCCGCTGCCTTCATCATGGCGAAGAGGTTGACAAACAGCGTCCCGTTCCGACACAGGATCTTATAGGCCCGCTCACAGTACTCCCTGAACCTGATGCAAAAGATGCAAAAACAAACACGTTTCATAAGTTAGCAGAACCCCAGAACAATCCATCCATCCTTTACTGCTTATTCAATTCAGGGTCACAAGGTGCCTGGTTCCTATGCCAGGGTACACGGTCTATTACAGGGCCAAGACAGACAACACAGACTCCCCACAGAAAGGCTCCAACTGACAGGTGGATTTAAACCCAACTCCTTCTTGCTGTAAGAGGACAGTGCTTGCCACTGCACCACTGTGCCGCCGTCTATAACTATAACTACGTACGTGTGTTAGAGTTGCATGTTTTTATTGTACCTCTCAAATTTCTCACTGTTGTTTGTTCGTCCTTGCTGGATCACGTGGACAAAGTCATACGTCAGGATAAAAGGCACGCGCTCCCTGTTGATCCCGAGTTTCCGCTTGAAGTTGCCCAGGAAGTGCCCAAAATCAATGTGG